ACTCCTTGAAGAAAAGCTCAGGCTCACTCTTCTAGTCCACGTTCTCTCTTGAACACGTATCTCACCTGCCTGCCTCTATGCCTCTTGGCGTTTTTCCAGCCCAGAGAAGCCCTTGTTCTCTCGTGAACAAGTACTCCCTCTCGCTTCACGTCCTTCTGAGTAACTTTTGTTCAATAACAAATATCTTGCTTCACATTGGGGGAGGGGGGAGGGAGTACTCCTCAGGCTTAAACACTGGTCGCAGGAAGCCCAACAAATCACAGGCAGGTCCTCTGCAAACACACAGTCAGGGAGCGAGAAGATGTACACGGACAGAGATGAGAGACAGAAGGGACAGCTCCCGCGACCAGCTCTGATACCCACTGCACCCCGCCACTCCTCCCTGCGCTTCTGGCGACCTTGGGATTGCTTCCAGAAACCATGGGCTTGTCTCACTGTGTTTGCTGGTTCTATGGCCACAGTTTCAGAACAATCCAAAGCCACACCTATGCACAGGCCTGCTGGCTCCAAAGCATGGGGGAGCGCGGGGCTCTGGGGCTCTACTTTCTCCCCACGTCACACCCTCAGTGCCCACTGCGGACCTATGCTAAGGTGGGCAGGAGAGCCCATGGCAAGAACTGCTGGGGCACAGGCCTTGCTCAAACACTCTCCCCATCTCCTCCCAGCGCCCACTCAGCTCTCTACCCAAGCCTGCTCTTGACCGAAACACAACGACAACTGGAAGGACGCCCAGTGAACAGGCCAGAGAGATGCAAGTTGGAAAATCCTGCTCAATGCCTATTATTTTGAGTTAGCACATTTGCTCCACCCTTTTCCTCCTAAATAAAGGCCTCCAGCTTGCTTGGCACCACAAGGGCCACTAAGGGTTCCCCGGCAGATCTGTCAGACGCCCCTACCTCACCTGGGCCACTGAGGGCTTCCGGGCAGATCTGTCGGACGCCCCTACCTCACCTGGGCCACTGAGGGCTTCCGGGCAGATCTGTCGGACGCCCCTACCTCACCTGGGCCACTGAGGGCTTCCGGGGAGATTTGTCAGATGCACCTACCTGACAAGAGCCAATCGCCACACTAACAGAACATCTGGGAAGCCACTTGAGAATCTGACCCTGAACCCAGCTTCCTGTGCGAGGGCCTTGGAAGGGGGGCACCACATTGAGAGAGCCTGGCCTGCCCACTAGAAAGCAGTCGGGGAGTGGTCGCCACTGGGCTACTACTGTGCACTGCACATGTTCATGGCCCTGGTCTCACACAGCTCAGCCCACTTAGAGCAGGACTTGGTCCTGTGATCTGGGGCAACTCCCTCTGCCTTCTGGCCCTTAGTGATCCCTCTTATAAAACAGAGATAACAGCACCCCCTCCACCCGCTCACCAGGCTCCCTCAGAATCAGGAGGAACAATGTGTCCTTCAGCGGTGGGTCTTTGGTTGATTGGTTTTGGGATTTTTTTTTTGGTCATACCCACAAGTACTCAGGGGCTATTCCTCACTCTGTGTTCAGGGGTCACGCCTGCTGTGGTTTTAGGGATCATATGGGGTGCCAAGATCGAACCCGAGTTCTCCACGTGCAAGCAAGCACCCTCTCTGCTGTACTATCTCTCTGGCTCCTGGAGGTGGTTTCAAACCGCATGCACTACGGAGCAAGGTGCTGCCCCAGGGAGGAGGGGACCAGAGACAAGGCCTGTCACCGTCGCCTCACTGCCATTCACCTGGATTCCGTGCCTTTGGCTCCCTTTCCTATCCTGGTAAGCAGCTGGGAATGACTGTGGGCTCTGGGCGACTCCCTTTACATCTATCTCTGTGTCTCCGGAAGGCTGAAACCAGTCTTGGTGGCCGGAGAACTGCAAGCATTCGCTCACACAAGGCTGAACTGACACTGAAAAGGAGATCAAGCAGACTTTGAAATGTGCTCTTGGGATACGGAAATATTTTTGTACCCCAGAGCCAGAAGTCTTCCCGGCAGACAGGTCCAGTGCTACCGACCCTCGGGCACAGACAGTGCCACTGGCAACACACTCAGGAAGTGGCACCTATTACACTAGGGAATCCTCTCAGAAGCTCAGCAAGCGTTGAGTAAGGACACCCAAGTGCTGCCTGAAAACCTGAAAACTGACAAAAACCAAGAAAGAAAGTGGGCTACGAATGGGACAAAGTAGATGACATTTCTGTTCTTGACACACGTCCCTTCACCAATTTCCTACCACCCCCAGATGCCTCCTCCTGCCCAGCATTCCCATGGTAGCAACCAGATGGGCAGCTGGAGAAGCTAAGCCCAAGAACAGAGCCTCACCCAGTGAGGCCATGCAGTCATGGCCACCGGCCCCAAGATGACACTCCTGGCCTCCCAGCCAGAGTTCACCCAGAAACACAGTCAATCTCATTGGAAAACACTCGCATCAGGCCGGAGAGACAGTACAACAGGTACAGGGTTGCCCAACATAAGGCCGACCTGGGTTCAATTCCCAGCACCACATATGGATCCCTGAGCCCCACCAGGAGTAACTTCTGGAGTGTGTGGAGACAGGAGTAAGTCCTGAGCATTGCCAGGTATGGAGATTACCTTCCAGATATGGTCCAAAAACTAAAGATTAAGTAAGTAAAATAAGAACACTCGTGTTAAGTGAGCTACTGGGTAGAATCTGGCTCTAACATCCTCTGAGAGGGAGCCAAAGCAACCCACAGGTAACTGGTCACTCCTTGCACTTGCCCCACGGGGCCTGAAGACATGGCTCTCCCCCTACTAATCCTGAGAGCTAGAGTGTTCCACTAGCTCCTCTCTTCAAATCAGAAGAGACTGTGCAAACAGCCTGCCAGCAACGCAAGGCTGGGGAGCTCTAGGAAGGGCTGCGGGGATGAGACTTCGCAGATCGAACTGGCCATATCTGACCACCACTACATCCATGCCGCTTCTGTGAGACGGCAAGACAAGCCAAAACAAACAAATACTGAGTCCATTAAATTCCTCCCTTTCTCGTCACTGAACTAAGTGAAAGGTTTTCCAGAAAACAGATACCATCCAAAACGTATGCTGGGACCAAAGAGATGGTTCAGTGGGATGAGAGCAAGCAAGCAGACAGAAGCGCAGGGTTCAGGCTGGCAGTGTAAGGTCCCCCACAAGTACTGCTAGGAGCAAACCCGACTACCACCAGGTTTGGCCCCAAAAACAACCAAAAAAAATAGATGTATGGTAGGATTTAATATCAAGTTCAAGAATGTCCTGAAGATTCTTATTTGAAGACCCCTACCACACCCAAGCAGAGTCACTGGTCATGCATAAGTGGAAAGAAAACAGCCCCTAGGGCCAGTCCTTTGGGAGACGCCCAGGGCTTCCCTCTGCTCACCCCGAGTCAGTCACACTGCCTTCCCGGATCCGCTCCCAGATCTCTCATAGACAATCTTCCCCGACACTTCAAGGCTGAAATCCGGGCAGACTCTTCCAGAGTGGCAGTAGCACTGGGGAGTGGTGAAGTCACCCCCTCGCCATTTTTCACGGCCAGCTCTGACTTGGCAAGCCCTTTTGAGTTGTGCAACAGTGACCTGGAGACCAGGCCCCACTCAGGCTCACTCACTGCGGGGGCTGTGACTAAAATTGCCCAGGTAGGCCTTTTCTGCCCCATTTCTCTGACTCCAAGGAGACCAGGAGGCTGGAATCCAGAGCCAGACACTGTCCTCCAGGGACAACACACGCGTGCTTCCTCCCCAAGGTACCGCAGCCCCACCCTGGGACACCCTAGCAGTGTCCAATCAGCTGCCAGCACAGCTCACTGCCCCGTCTGGAGGGCAGTCCTGATGCACTCTGCTTCCCAAAACAGGCTCAGCCATAGGTCCAAGGAGAAATGAACTGCACTTGAAGTGCCTGTCCGTTTCTCTGGTGGGCTGTTCCAGCAGAGACTAAACTCACGGACCAGATGGGAAGAGGGGTACAGCGGACACATCTGTCTCTAGACCCCGTCCCAGGAGAGCTCAGGGACCCAAAGATGACCCTGCTGCCTCAGTGCCTGGTACCTGCAACTATCCTCAGAGAGCCTCCTGCAAAGGACTTCCTGTCTGACTTAACAGAGAGAATGATCAGCTCAGCAAGTGAAGCAAAACAAAACCCAGTTTATGTAACAGTGCACAGTGTCACTTTCTGAGCTCTCCTGCTGGCTTCCACACTGATCCCCCAACCCCCGACACAAACCCCAAAAGAGAGTACAGTGCGACTCAATGAAGTCGAGCATGAGCAAATTACAGGAGAATTTGGGAACACCCAATTCTCATGACTTAACTTACAAGGGACCCTTCAATCCAGAAAGAAAACAAAGCCAGTGGGGTTTACTCATGCTCACACTGTGTGGCAGAAGAGAGTATCACACGACAGAAGAATAAGCAATATACCAAATGAGAGAAGCAACATTTGAAATGTCTACATTTTTCTGAATCTGCCAAAAAAAAAAAAAAAACACCTTTACTATTATAATACCTTATTCCTCTATTCATTCAAGGATAACATTCTTAAATGTTTTGACCAACAAGCTTCCTTGTCAGAAGTGAACACCTGAAGCCAAACACACGGGCAGGATTTCCCCCGGCCCCTGCCCGCAGTGCTGCCTCTTTGGAGAACCTGCCGTTCTCGAGTTCATTCGATGGACATTACCTTCAAATACTCAGTGCAGTGTCTGCAGGAAATTACAACATTATTCACTTCCAATTAACGATTTTAAGCTTTTCTCAGGGCAGCGGTGGAGGAGAATGATCTGTTTCCTCTATCCAACACCGAGATAAGCTGGACACCGGTCACGGAACGCTACCCCCACAGACAAGACTTACTGAGTTTCCGGCACAACTGAAGAGGCAAGAAGCAGAGAAGGCTGGGAGGCAGAACAGGGAGAACTTCAAGAGAGAAGCCCTGGGCAGGAGTGGGCCAGGCCGAGAGAGCAGAGGTTTGAATTCCTGGCAAACTCACACCGAGCGGCCAAGGGGCGGAGCTATGCCAAGCTTGGGTGGGGCCGGGCGGCAGGGAGAAGGCAGCTTACTGGGTGAGGAGCTGGTGCAGCTGGTGGTACCCTCGCTCCAAGGCCAGGCTCCCAGGCGTCGCTCCTTCCCGGTTGTGGACACTGAGGGCTCCTCGGCCACCAGGCTTCTGCAAGAGGAGCCACGTCAACCTCAGCAGTCCCAGCCGCACAGCAAAATGCATGAGTGTTTCCCGGGGGGCACCATCTGCAGAAAAGGGAGAAGGGCAAAGGGTGAGGAGAGCAGTGACACAAAAGCCGGGCAAGGACCTACACCATCCCCACCCCCACCCCGGGCTGTAGGGCCCAGAAGTGAAGCTGCAGGGTGGGTCAGCCGAGCTCGGCCAGCTGTTTGCAGGGAGCTGGGCCCGCACAGTAAAGCAGGCTACGCCTATCTCCGGCTTAATGCCATCATCCCACCAGTCCATACAGGAGATGAGCAAGGGACCCCACGCAGAGGCCCTCTACTCAGAACAAGAGGGCTGAAGGCAGGGCACTCTCTGGGGACACAGGGGGAAGGGCTGACACACAAAGGGTGCAATCAAGCCACAAACAAGGGGCTGGAGCGAGAGCACAGCGGGGAGGGCATCTGCCTTGCACGCGGCCGACCAGGGTTCGATTCCCAGCATCCCATATGGTCCCCTGAGCACCGCTAGGGGTAATTCCTGAGTGCAGAGCCAGGAGTGACCCCTGTGCATTGCCGGGTGTGACCCAAAAAGCGAAAAAAACCCAAAAAACCACAAACAAACTCATGCCCAGGCGGGGACTGGCAGCTGAACACTGAAACCTGCTGCTGCCCATTGAGCACACAGGTCTTTTCATTGCCCCATCTTACGGGCAAATCAAACTGTTGGCACTCCCAGGCTTCTGTACTTAATGAAAGAAAGAAGTGCGTCTCCAGGCCTAAGAAGAAAGCCTAAGTCTAAGATAAGAGGCGCGCCACGCCGCAAAGGAAACACGTGCTCAAACTCATTTTCCTTGAAGCGACAGTCTCTTGGGGCCGCAAGCCACTGCAAGGTGGTGGAATGAGGAAGAGCGGTGTGTAGAACAAAGCAGGCTCGGCTCGGACATTCTCCAGTGGGGCGTGCAGGCAGGTGTGTGCTGACCTTCCCCAGGCTGCGGGAGCAGAACTGTGACGGGCAGGTTCCTGGCACTGCCCGCCTCAGCCACCCTGCGTGACCCTGTGTGGGAAGAGCTGCCGCGGGCACAGAGCCAGGGAGCCAGCCTCACAGTCCCACAGCCTGTTCCCTAGGCTCGGCACTTCCTTCTCAGGGTCTCTCCTTGGGGGCCGTTCTCCATGGAGGAGCCCCAGCTTCCACTTACTCTCTCTGCAGGGCACCTCCTGGCAGCAAGGCAGCGCCTTAAAACCTGACACCTGTGTCTGTCTCACTTGGGCGCTCAGAGCAAGCCAGGCCTCGTGCGCAGCGGTGCAGCGCTCACAAGCTGCGGATTCTCTGCCCCAGCAGAACAGCTCCGAGTCCCTGCGCATTTGGTCATGGAAGGGCCCAGGCTGGCCCCTGTAAACCTGACTCGCCACGGCGCCCTCTCTGATCCCTCATCTGCTCTAAGCCGGATCAGCGTGAAGAGTCGAGTTCCATCAAAGCTCCTGGGCCTGGCCAAGCTGCATGCAGATCGGTGTGAGCACCCACGCCACCCCACTCTGTGCCTCGGAGGGCAGCAGCAAGCACCAAAGCTGCTCTCCCGGAGCCCTGTCCTACAGCCAAGTCCGAGCTGTGAGGATGTGCAGAGCGTAAAGCAGGAAACTAAGGGGTCTGGGTCTGTATAAACTAAGGGGTCTGGGTCCTCCTTCCCCCAGAACTCTGGGGAGTCCCTGGCCCTCATCCACCCCCCACAAAATGCAGCTCCGAAGCTTCTGTGAGTCTACAGCCCCCACCTTTCCATCACTCAGCCAAACAAGCAATCATGCAAGCAAGCTCCTGTTTGGGTTTAAGAAGCAACTTCTCCCACATTTCCCTCCAACATGCTATTATCAACTCTTCCGAGTGTACACGAAAGCCAAAAGGATTCTACGGCAAATACTCATAGCCCCGAACCAATCATTAATGTCTCCCTACGTCTCCTTATCACGTATCTCTGCAATTACCCTTCCCTCAACACATCCATCACCATACTGACGCATCTCTGGGGAAGCTGAAGCTGCCGGGCTCACTTCATCCCCAACACTGCGGCGGGTGCAGCGGTGGGTGGAGTTCAACCCAGAGCAATGAGTTCAGTCAGTTACAGCCTGGGAAGTACAGATGGTACAGAATACCATGGAACAATCTGACTCACGCCTGTCCCCTACAACCCAGACTTCTATCCAGGCAGAAATGGTCCACATCTGAGAATGTCTTCTCCTGCCCCTTCCCAATCAGAACCCTCCCCAGGCCTCGAGCTAAACACCACTGTCTCACCATAAATTAGTTCTGCCTGTTCTAGAACCTTGCACAAATCCACATGCATGTACACACACACACACACACACATACACAACACAGAGCCACTCTGCAGGTCAGAGTGGCTTCCTGCACTGCTCAGAGGAGTCTGCGCTCTGAGCACACCAGTTGGAGCTGGCTGGTCCCCCGTTCACTCTGTGCATATACTCATCATGTCTTCACCATGTCCCCTGGGCTCGTGGCAGAGGAGGCCAAGAAACAGAGGGTGAAGCAAAAAAGCGTACCGAGTGCCTAGAATCCACAGCACACGGCTTTCAACCAACACAGTCCCTGGCTCCTTTCACTACTTTCATCTCAGTTTACACTCCAAAGCACTCACAATTGAGAATTCATCTCTGTTCCCCTATCTGCATTTTCCTCTCTCATTATCCTGTGTCTTTTCCCCTCTGTATTCAGGCTTTGTTACTCAGATCACTAACTGCATTTCCTATGAGGTCAATCGGGTCTCTGAGCTCACAGTCAATTCAATTACTCTGGAGATTCTGAATGTCCCTGCCTCATTGCAGCCAACTCCCATTCCATCTCTGCCTGCACTGTGATGGCTCTTTCGCCGATGTAATTAAAGCCCCTGATCAGTTGATCTAATAAGGAAGATTATGCTGGCTAATCTGGGTCGGCCTAACTGAATCAGTGGCAGGGCTTCAGAGCAGGGCCGAGCTCTCCCTGGAGAGAGGCCAGTGTTTGCTGTGCCCCAGACTGCGTCCTGCTCAGGACGGCCCTCCAGGGTATCCAGCCCATGGCTGAGCCCCTACCTGGATAAGCTGACCCAAGACTGCTATCCTGCTCACAAGTGCCAGCATTTGGGCTCATCGGGCTGGAAGATGCCCTGGAGGCCTGTCTTTCAGCCCCGGCTTCTGATTCTCTGGCTAAACCCCGCTGGACATGTGTATTCTACCCCTCTCTCTCCTGCCTTCCCTTCCATAACAGGCCTGATTTCTCAGAGCTCTGAAAAGGCAAACTGAAACGATCGTCCCATTTTCCCTTAGGTTCCCTGAAGTCAAGCACTCAGAGTCATCCCCCACCTGCTGGGGGCACTGCTCTATCCGCTTCAGACTGCTGCCTGGTTTGCTGGTTCCTCTGCTGATGGCCTCTGCTCCCACGCCCCTCCCAGAGCCCTGTCCCAGCACAGGGACGGCCACAGAGATCTGTGGTGCTGGCAGCACCTGCCCGGCTGCTGCCTCCTGTGTGCAGAGCTGTGGCCATGCAGGAGTGCGGGCAGGGTGCAGTGGTCCGTGGGCAGCTCAGCCTCCCAAGGACTAGCACCTGGCCAGCGTGAGGGCCTGTGCATCCTCCTGGCGGCCAGTTATGGGACAGGCCACCGGTTCTCAGCTGGACTCACCAGTCCTTGGTCTCTCAAGGCTACATGACGGCCAGGCTCTATGTGCAGGGCCGGAAGAGAAGAGGCATGTGGGTCAAAGCCCAGAACTCCGTGTTCCCCGAAGCACCACCAGGGACAACTGCCCAGCTCAGAGAGCCAGAGGCTGCCCCACCACCACTGGGTATGGCCCCAAAACAAAACAAACAAACAGGACATGAGCAGTGAACGATCTGCAAGCCAGAATGCATCTGGATCCATCCTTCCCAGTTCCGGCAAGATGAAACAGAGAAAGCGATGAGTTACTTCACACACACTCCTGCAATGCAGCAAGAACAGAACGAGAACTTTCATTTCACAACTGTATACGGAAAGGCAGACTCTGGCCCACATGGAGCCACCTAAGAGTGAGGGACGGTCCTGAACCTCCCCTCTGAAGGCCCGAGCACCTGGCAACAGGCTGGCTGCCAACAGTGGGACGTTCTGCATGAAACTAGGCTCCACTTACCTGCACCATATCCCAGGCAACAGCACACTTCACACCTTCCTCTACACCCCCAACAAAGCGCCTGCCGGGAACAATCTGTTCCCGCCACATGCCTCTCTACAGCCGCAAGCACCTCTCACCTGAAGTGACTCTGCCCTTGAAATACCAGCTCTCTGAGACCCTTAAATGACTACCTCAACCGCAGCACAGGAGGGATGTTTCAAGTCACATTCCTGGTCCTAGGATGAGATGGCATGGGCGTAAGTCTTGCGTGCAGTTGGCCCACGTTCGATCCCTGGACTCCCGTGGCCTGGGAGGCCCCCATGTACCACCAGGACAACTCGAATTTTTCACACCACTGGGCTCTCACATGGAATCACACGTCAGGTTGGACCAGAAATGCCAGGAGAAGCTCCTGCAGCTGCTAAGCACAGCTTGGGGAGGCCCCCCAAAACAAAAATCAATTAAACAGATTTCAGATACCAGCTGCTCCAACAAGCCCCGTGATGCGTTCTACCACTCAAAGAACAAAACTAACATGATGTAACTGCTTTGATGTGGCACGAAAGTAACTCGGAAGTACCGTGCTGTGATGGCAGGCAGGGACAAAGTCTTCTAACTGCTCCCGAGACAGAATCATGCAAATGTCCACAGAGCAACTTCTCACGGCATGCCTACCCCCAGGCCTAGGCCCTTTGGCAACTAGAAATGCTTCCCGCCCCTGCAATGCACTGTTTCCAGATCAGCTAACTAATCCATGGAAATGTCACTCACTGCACCAGGCATCAGGCAAGAGCACACAGCATGGGGGTAGGGGAGACATGGTCCTGGTGTGCTGTGGAGGTCTTATCCAGGGCCCATGTGCCACCCCTCCCCAGTCACCGAGCAGTCTGGTCCCTTTCCAGGGAAAGTCCCTCTCCACACTGAGAACCTGGTTCTGAATTGATCCTAGACAGCAGAAAGCAACCACGCAGCACTCTCTCCCCAACATCTCACTGAAAGAATGCCACCAACAGCTTGGTCAAGGCTCCCCAAAGAGAGGCCCCCAAGACCAGAAGCTCCAGCAGCGGCAAGACCATCTGAGTTTGCGGGGTGAAGGCTGGGGGATAGCAGGTCCCAGAGACGATGCAGGAGACACTCAAGTCTTTCCAAGCCACACACGGTCTTACCATGCAGAGTCTGGTCGGGCCCCAACACGTTCCACTCGGCAGGCAGCTTCAGGTGTCGGAAGGCCAGGGCCACCTTCCGGTCCAAGGAGTCCACGTCCCCGGTCAGAGGTCCTGAGCGGTCAAGGAAGCGTGTAAAGTTCAGAGCCTGCTGATTCCCGGCGCTGGTGGCCAGGAACTGGGCCGCGTCATACGCCTCATCCTGGATGAACTGGAAGTCCCCTTCAGTAACCACCAGCACAGGGTGGCCCTCCCTGGAGGCACAGAGCAGCACCTTCACTGTCTCACAGCAGTTGTGGCCTGGAGAAACCCAAAACAGGTGTATTAGCATCCTCAAACCCGAGGGGCAGCTGCACGCCCCCTCCCACAAAGGGACCCTCCTCTCAAAACCCAGCGCTTTTTTACTTTTACTTCAAATGTCAGCTCCCTCCCTAAACAGCAGCCAGGCAGAGCTGTGTAACTGAGCAGCCTGAAGAGCAAGCCAAGGGTTGGGAGGCCTGGAGAGCCTGCAGCGGCCTGAGCCCGAATGCTGAGGCGGAGCTGGTGCAGAAGGGCTGATCTCCCACACGTCCCCACAGAGGTGCAGGATGAACCAACCAAACAAACAAACAAACAAACAAACACTGTCCTCCCGTTGTTCATCGATTTGCTCGAGCAGGTCAAGTAATGTCTCCATTTTTTTTTTTTTGAGACTTGTTGTTACTGTGTTTGGCATATTGAATACGTCACGGGGAGCTTGCCAGGCTCTGCCGTGCGGGCGAGATACTCTCGGTAACTTGCTGGGCTCTCCGAGAGGGGTGGAGGAATCGAACCCGGCTCGGCCAGGCTGGCTGGCTGCCTGCAAGGCAAACTCCCTACCGCTGTGCTGTCGCTCCAGCCTTGTGCACGGCCGGCCCAGCTGAGCCGGGTTCAATTCCTCTGCCCCTCTCGGAGAGCCCAGCAAGCTACCGAGAGTATCTCGCCCACACAGCAAAGCTACCGTAAAATATTCAATATGCCAAATACAGTAACAAGTCTCTCGATGAAGATGTTACTGGGCCCGCTCGAGCAAATCGATGAACAACGGGAGGACAGTGCTACAGAACCAAACAACTGCTCTTATTTTCTTTATTAGAAACACAAGGACTAGAAGCGCCTGTGCTCTCGAGCACGTCCCTTCTAGTACAATGGACGCTGCAGTGGCAGCCAGGGCGGGGACCGCAGTCAGCCGGCAGTGTCCAGGCTAGAGCTGCCCGCCCGCTGCCACACCCCAGGTGTTCCTGGTCTGTCAGGAAGGTGTACCAAAGCACCTCCAAGAGAAGGCTGTGGTGGGCAGCTGATCCTCCTCCTGAACTTTTAGCGTTCCGTCTTCAAGTCTCAGAAACAGGCACTGATCTTCCTGGCTTCCCCACCTGCGCCCACCACCACCTGCCTGACACGGAAGCGCATTCTGATGAGAAGAGTGGGGCTGGGCTGGGGCTCACGCCTCAGCTGGGCACCTCTGGGCTGGCTCCCCATGGAGCCTGTGGCACATGTGGGCACAGGCACCAGGCAGAGATGCCCAATCCGACTCTGTATCCCATGGGCAAGGTCAGGCAGCTGCAGGCAGTGCAGAGCTCGGCTTCTGGCCCGCAGGCTCTGAAAGAGGAAGCAGGGTGCAGAGGCACCTGCAAGAGAGGCCCCTGACCCCTGTAGTCTCTCCAGCCCCAAGGACGATGGGATTATGTGGCCGGAGTAGTAAGTAAAGTGGTTTTCTCAGTCTCCCTGGGCCCCATCACCTCCTCAGCCGCTTCCCCTCCCTCAAGCTGGAGCACTCGAGGACAGAAAGGTGTGTCACTGTCACCAGCAGTTTCCTTCACACCCACAAGTGGATGAGGTGCTCAAGCCCTCAGGCTGCAGAGGAGGAGGAGGAGGAACTGCCAGAGTCCCTGGGGCAGGTCCCTCAGGGCAGCGCTGGCACCAGGGGGCTGCCCAGTCCCAGCAAAACAGAATATGCTTCAGCTCGAGGCGTGCTGCATTCACACGCTCAGCACGTGAAGTGAAACGAGAAAAATCTCAGCTTCCTTCAAGGGGCAGCTGGCCTAGTCAGCGGACACAGGTCAAGTGATCTGGGCGTTTTGCTGTCAGAAGGCTGGCTTCCTTCTTTCCTTTCTGCTGCGGTGCCAGGGAACACGCAGGGCGCCTGCTCTATCACCAAGCCACCTCCCTGGCCCAGAAATGTTTCTTCGAAGCTCTTCCCTAACACCTGGACGGGGGCACACAGGCTTCGAAAGAGGAAATCACTGTCCCCACCAACTGGGCACCAGCACCCATGAGGCACAAGTGATTCGGCGCCTTTCAGAGGAAGCATCCTGGGGGCTGGGGGTGGGGATGGACAGCCTTCAGAGGCTAACTGGCGTGAACCCAGGACAGAGCAGGGGGACTGCACGGAGGCGGGGGACCTCGCTGCCAGCACCTCTCCCCACGCACTCCGTGCTCAGGCTGCTCTGGAGACCACAGCGCATGCGAGCCCAAGAGGCCACGGCCAACAGCACCACAGCACTGTCCACTCGTTTTTCCACAGACACAGCTGCAAGCTCTGCAGCGAGGTGCAGCTGGTGGTGGTGTTCCTTCCTCTCAGTTTCCTGGCAACCAGGAAGGAAAATAAAACACAAGCCCTCTTTGAAAGGGAAGTTCTGGAAAAGGTCCCAAGCACCTTCTGCAGACTGACGGAGCAAGAAGGCCATGACTAAGAAACATGGCCCGCAGCAGAGCTCCAGGGTCGGTGACGCCTCTCGAGGCGATCCACGGACAGGCCCAGCATGCAGGCGACAGAAGCAAAGTCAAGGGGCCCATTCCGAGTAGGCGAGTCCTGAGGGACGCTGCGGTCAGTGGCGAGAGTCAGCTCCAAGCCTGGAGTCCCATCGCCCTCGCAGATGGGCTCTTTACCCAAAGGGAGCCACTCAACCCTGACGCCAGCCACCTCTCTGTGCCCAGATTGAGACCATCCAGCCTAACAGGTTGATTAAAAAAGGGAGAAGCTAGAGCTGGCAGTAAGTACACGAGGCTGCTGGCACGAAACAGGCATCTCAGTTGGAGCGCTGATCACTACTTAGCTTCCCACTGGGGTCACCCAAGGAAAGCACACCCCTGATTCTCACAAGGAGCCGTTGCCACACAGCCAGCAGAGCTCTAAGCTTCTGCTGACACCAAGGAAGTGAGGGGGATGGGTGGGAAGGCGGGTGGCAGGAGGGGAAGCGTCCAGAATAAACAGAAGTGAGGGAAAAAACTGCAGCTGCTAATGGTCCCCGCGAAAACCTCCCCCGCCAACCTGTCCCAAGCAGGCAGGTCAGAGGGGAGCACTGGGAGTCTCTTCACAGCCCCTTATCACCGCATGAAGCAGCGTCCCCATGGAGACAAAATACTGCCACAGATCAACACTCGGGCTGAAGCATGACCCAAGAATGACTTCATTTCCGATTCGGCTAAAAGCAGCACACGTCCCATCCGGGCTCCTCCTTGGAGAGCGGAACAATGGAGACTGTGTTTCATCAGACACCCAGAAAGGAACCCTGGAAGGGCAGGCGAGCACCCCCACACCTCTGCTCCCTTCCTCCTCGTCCCGTACTCCCCCCAATTCACCTCTGCGCAAAAGGCTGCCCCCTGGTGCCCAGTGCAAATATGCCCATACTCACATTCAGTCTGCAGGTGATCCAAGTTCAAATCCCAGCACCGAATGGTCCCTGGAGCACTGAGCCAGGGATAGCTCCCAACACTGCCAGGTGTGCCCACACCCCTGGGGGATGGGGGTGGGAAGGGTAGTATTTCCAGTTCACGTGTTTTCAATTCACTTCTTAAACCAGCCACATTATAGGATGTAGTGTTTTATTATAAAATTTGTCTCACCTTGATTAGCACAAAGATGGCTTTATTTTCCAACTGCCAGACCTCCCCTCTCTCAGGGGCCACCACTCACTCCGTTACTCAGGCCTGCCAATAGCCTTTCCCCCCAAAAAGCAAGAAAAACACATTCTGGGGTTGGAGAGATGGTATAAGTGGGTAAGGTATTTGCCTTGCACATGGCCAACCCAGGTTCGATCCCAGCAACCCATATGGTTCCCTGAGCACTGCCAGGAATGATTCCTGAGTGCAGAGCCAGGAGGAACTCCTGAGCATCACCGGGTGTGGCCCAAAAAATTAAAAAAAAAAAAAAGCAGCAGCAGAAGAAGAAGAGAAAAACTCACTCTGAAATAATTAAAGGCATACATACAATTCACTGCCTGCTTTTCAGAAAAGAAAGGAAAAAGTAAGGAAATGGCCAGGAAAAGTGGTACTGTTACCTCAGTGTCTGAAGTCAGAGAAGTTAATAAAGAAACAATGAGGGGATTTTTTTTCTCCCCAATAATAAAAGGTTACAAACTAACATCAAAAAGTAGCTGACTTCTGAAGGTCACTCAGTCATCTGATTTGAGTAAAAACTAAAGGTTACAAACACGGACAAGGCGGGGAGCTGGGAGCTGGAGGGACCCACGGACCGACCGCATCTGGGCGAAAGAGCATTAGGCACAGCAACAGGACACAGAGCTCTTTTTCTTCTCATGTTCAGCCAGAAGTTTGGGGACTGCTGGGCGGCCCCACCGGGGAGTAGAAACGCAGCAGCCAGGGCAATCGGCCGGGCCTGTGCAACCCAGTGCCAGGCTCCAAGCAGCCAGCCAGCACACGCTTGCTGCAAGGGCCCGGCTGGCCCTCGGCAAGTGGGAAATGGGAGGCTCCTGGAGAGCTGGCTGGCGCAGAAGCCACAGCAGAAGCCACAGCAGAAGCCACAGCAGAAGCCACAGCAGAAGCCACAGCAGAAGCCACAGCAGACTGGCTCTGGAAGGATGAAAGGAGAACGGAGGAGCACGGCCAAGCCCGCTCAGGAAACCAGTCACCTCTCGCACTGTTCCCAAGAAAGGGGTGGGGAGGTGTACAGGTGCTCACATCTGGGTGTGCACCTGCCTGCATCTGGGTGTAGACACTGCCTGGGTGTCACGTAGGCCTGCCGGCCCACGTATGAGCAACACGCACTTGCACATGCAGAGGCCGTTCCTGGAGCAGCAGCACCCTGAGCTCCAGGATGATCCTGACAGTGGAAAGGCCACTCCACCGAGCACTGAGGAGTCCTAATGCCAGCGTCAGGGCCTTGGGGAATAAAACAGGCGAGAATCCTTGCCCTCAGGACGCTGCCCCTCAGGAACAGGCAGATGGCAGATAAACGGGAGAAAGGGCGTGTGCTGTGTGTGACAAGCGGGGAAGGTGGCCAAGAAAATTCTGAGCTGGGGACAAGGGCAGGGGGGGCATTTGTGCTCTCTTTCTTTTTTCTCTCTTTTGGTGAGTCATGGGCGCTAACTCCAGTGGTCCTGACGGGCAGGATCCACAAAGAAGCCCACCTTTTCCTCCCGAGCCACACCCCTGATCCATCTATGGTTCTGTAAGGCTGGCAGGAAAGCTAGCCGAGAGCAGGCAAGGGGCGAGTTCAGCTAGCCACACAGCTGAGTTAGACAGTTTTATCATCCACACACGTCTGAACTCTGTGAGGGCAGCAAGGAACTCACAGTGATACAGCCAGATTCTCGGCACGGTTACGGCCCCAAGCCATATGCATGGCACAGTAACAACCGCAGGCCAGACGCATGGCACAGTCGCAGCCCCAAGCCAAGGAGAACTCGGATGGGTCCTCATGCAGGAACCACCTGGGCTGTCCCCTCACAGACTGACACCCACGTCAACGACACTCGGGGGAGGAGAGGAGAGAATCTCTCCATACAAAGTCCTCTGAAAGGAAACATTTCACCTGTCGACTCATTTGAGGGGTTTTCTCTACGTCCCCCTTTTCGGTATACTAATGAAAACTTGTCAGTTGTTAACTCCGAAGCTAAGTCTGTCAGGAGAACTCATCCCCAGCAAGCTCGAGAGAGTACCGGCATCTTTGGGGGAGAAGCGACGACTGAGCGACCGTGAAGTGTCTCCCACGTTCTGCCAGGCTTACACCACACAACGATTGTCCCTCTGAGAAAACTGGGCTTCTGAAAAAGGGTGTGCCGCCTGTCCCCCCAGGACACGAGGTCACACGTCGGCATCGAGGCTGCCCCCAAATCTCAGCAGCCCACTAAGACCACCTGGTTCCCGATCCTGATTTCTAGTTTTCCATTTACGTTGTTTTACTATATTTCTTTCTTTCTAGGCTCTTGCTTCTGAGAAAGAAGCAATATATAAACCGACACCATCTTGTACGCATTTACTTCAAATCAAGACCCAGTCGGCCTCCAAGTGCCCGAGACCTGCTGAGGGCCAGCCAGGTTTCGGCTGAACTGAGACTCACCAGGAGCGACGGTCTCCAGCGTGTCAGCACTGACCTTCCGAGTACTTGAACAGTGGTGGAGGCTGGAGCCCAAAAATACCAAGTAAAAGACCACATCGTCATCCAATTTGTCTTCTTCAGCGAGTACGACCGTCACCACACAGTCGCCCTGGGGAAGGAAGCATAACAAGCACGTGTGAGTGGGTCCACCAGGGTCTGGCTGATGAAGAACGGCACCTCAACTGGCCTGGTTCTGTCTCTTGTTCCCCTCAGCCAAGGTTCTAGAGGGTGGAGCTGGATGGTGACCGACTCAGCCATGCAAGTCCCATCCTTATCGCTTTGGGTCACTAGTTCCTAAGCAGTGCTGGTCTGCAGCTGGAGAGAGTGCCTTAGACAAATAGAAACACTCAGAAAGTACGTGTGTGCCAGTAATATGTAGCGTGGGGAACGCAGAAGGGCCAGCAAGTAAGACCTGTGAGCTCTCTGGGCCAACATCTTAAGTGGAGCCAGTTAGACAAACTAACAGGAACTGGTGTATTTATTTGGTGAGCAGGTTTTCAAAAAGGAAAAGGTCCCAGGGCTGAGAAAAATTGAAGAAAAAAAAAAGGAGAGGGTGGGGAGGAGCCAGAGAGAGATACCTCCAAAGGCCAGATGTGCACCTGGCACTGAACACTCCAGGTTGATGCCCAGCACCACATGGTCCCCAAGCATCAAACCGGGAGTACCCCCAAACAGCACCAGGTATAGCCCAAAACAAGAGAGCGAAGATGGAGGCAGCACACAAAGCAGTTACGCTGTGTACCAAGACACACCCCAAGTTGCACATCTTCAAAACACTGCCAAGTGCAGCCGTCCCCCAGCCGGCCTGGGGACGACAGAGCAGAGTATGAGTCGGGCTGATTCCTTAGGTCCTGCTCCATCAGCGGAACGCCTGTCCTGGCAGCTGACCGGGGAACTCACCACAGCACATGCTACATCTCGGCATAGGCCACTGGATTTGTTAGGAGGGCGGCCATCTGGTGACTCACTGTCCCTGGCTAACTCGAGTCTATTCTTCATCCACTCCCCGCTCCGGTGAACCCTCGGAATCAGACAAAAGTCATGGGCCAGCAACTTTGCTCATGACTTTTTAAAGGATGACATCTCTGTCCCTCATTTGCAAATATTCATCTAGCCACTTTTTGTTTGTTTTGTTTGGGGGCCACACTGGAGGTGTTCGGGGGCCACGCCCAGCAGTGCCAGAGCTCCAACCTGAGCTCTGGTGTGCAGAGCACACGCTCCAGCCCCCTCAAGCCATTGCTTTGGCCCTTCCAGCAGTTTGGATGCAGTGACTCTTCAACTGAGGTCCATGGTAAAAATAACTATTTTAAATGCAGTTCTAGTCATATTTCTTGCTATAAGCATTAAAATGTGTATAATTGTAAGCACAGCACTGTACTTCACTGTAGCACTGTCCTCTCGTTGTTTATCAATTTGCTCGCGTGGGCACCAGTAACGTCTCCGTTGTGAGAGCTGTTGTTACTATTTTTGGCATATCGAATACGCCATGGGTAGCTTCCCAGGCTCTGCCGTGCGGGCGGGATACTCTCAGTGGAGCTTGCCGGGCTCTCCGAGAGGAACAGAGGAACTGAACCCGGGTCGGCCGCATGCAAGGCAAATGCCCTACCCGCTGTGCTATCGCTCCGCCCAGTTGTAAGCATACACGAATGATTTTAAAGCACAAAGATTCAGTATGTAAATCTTAACAGTAGACTATGAAGATTTAAAAAAAAAAAAAAAAACCACTTCAGAGAAAGCCAGGCCACTTCAACATTTAACAGGTCAGAATTGTCATCACTCACATTTCTGCTTCCATTCTAACCAGAAGGCCTCAGAGGGAACCACGTCCCGCAGTGGTCACTGCTTAGGAGGGCAGCAAAGCGGAGCAGCAGGCACTGACTGGTTCACTAACAGCCGAATACAAAGAGGCAAACCCATTAGCAGAACCAATCGGTCAGCCTGGGCATCTGTGGCCCACACATGGTTGGCACGCCAACCTGCCTACGGCAGCATGTAGAGTCAGAACACACCACAAGGAAGCTGGCGTCGACAGAACTGCTGACCTGGAATGTTCCAGGGCACCCCTGCGACACGCAGTGCCCCCATCAGCAAAACTGTTCAGGATTCTGCTCTAAACTGCATAGAAGGCCCTATCCTGGGAACATTTTCTGGAAAACGGAGGCCGGTCACATATCTACGACTCCCGAGTTTGACAGACTAGAGCAGAGCAAAAAGGCCAGTGGAACAGAGGGAAAAGGCCCTTTCCCAGAGTGCTAGCCACCATTTCACCTGAAAGCAGGAAGTTCAAGTAAATTTCATCTGTTGGAGCACAGATAAACCGTGGACTTGTAGGCATCTAACCTGAATTCTAAAAAACTCATCTTCTATCTCCTCAGCCAGGATTTCCTCCCCACACAAGAAAGACCCAGAACTGGCCAGGATGAGGCCAGAGGGATAGAAGAGTAGGGAAGGGCATACGCCTTGCACGTAGCTGACCCGGGTTTGATTCCCAGCATCCCATATGGTCCCCGGGCACCACCAGGGGTAATCCCTGAGTGCAGAGCCAGGAGTAACCTCTGAGCACCGTGTGAACCAAAAAGCAAAAAAAGAAAGAAAAAAGAAAAAGGAAAGAAAAGAAAAGAAGAGCACTGGCCTGAAGATCCTCCAGCCCCAGGACACTAGCTCTGTATGACAGCTTCCTTTTACAGGTGGGGATGAGGGGGACAATAACTTCGTTAAGGAAATTAAATAAATGGGGGCGGGGGGAGGAAGGAAAGAAACAGGAGAATTTCAGTGTGAGTGGGGAGGAGGGATGAGGCCTTGGCCATAGGGAAGATGCAGGATCAGGAAAGCAATGTGAGTGGAAGAGACCAAACACTGAGATCCTCGGTACCAAGACATTAGGACTGGATTCCCATCTAGACACTACCCAGGAAGCGGGAGGAGAGGATGGGGCCACTCTTGATGGTGCCAAGACCAAGGGTAAAATGCTCAGGCACTGAGGTGCTTGGGGTCCCCAGGCCAGCCAGCACCACAGATCCACTGCGGAGCTCAGGAAGTCAAGCTCTTCCACTACAGCCCTGTTCCTGGCCTCGGCCACAGGATCCTGATGCGGGGCCCATGGCAGCAAAGGGAACTGCACTGGTACAGTGGAGCTGGCTTGGACAGGCTCTGAGAACTGATCATTATGTTTTCAGTAATTCTGCAAGCCAGTTGTTAAACACAGCTATTATTAACAATTAAATGATAGAGGCTTACAATTAAATAAATTATGTTAACAAATGTAATAGGCACTCTAAACTCATCTGTCTTTAATTGTTTTTCACCACATCTCTCTACTATCTGTGCTCTCGAGGGCTGTATCCACGGTGTCTCCCGGGTAGAGGTTCTGTGAGAATGATGTCTACTGAACACACCCCTTGCCAGCTCTGGGCCATCAGAGTCCCAAATGCTTGAGATCAACCACTGAGGGAGTTATTTATACCACTGAAGCTGGCACAGGCTCCGAGGGAGGGTTTTTTCTTTAAAACAACAGCCACAATCATCCCATCACTGACAGCAGGTCAGGAGACAGTAGAGAGGGCCGAGGGGGCTGTTTCCACGGGAAAGACAAGGGCAGGCCACGGAAACACAACAGAGGGAAGCTGGGCGGGGTGGGAATAGAGGCTTCCTGCAGGCAGACACCTAGAACAACCCCAGCAGCAGCGTCCCACTAGCAAGAGTCCAGCACAGCGCCACTTTCTGAGGCCGGGTAAGACGGCAGCGTTGGAGAAAGGGTGTTCAGGCACACGTTGTCTTGGGTAGGAATAACGGGGTGGAGTCACAGCTTTTTAGTGATGTCACCTGGGGCGTAGTGCATTCTCTGGGCCATGGGAGAGGACTCTATCTCACAAGGCCATGGTCAGAATGGCACGCAGGCCCACCCAAGCTGGGGAACAGCACTGGACTCAGCAAATCTCACAAGTCCTCACCACGGGGTAAAAATGGGCAACTGAGTGAGGCAATGGGTACTGACAAGACAGACGGGGGCAATGGAAATGTATCATTCACCGAAAACGAATACAGTGCTGTGGGCAGGAGAGGTAGGACAGCGTGGAAGGCACTTGCCTTGCACATGGCTGACCCAGGTTTGATCCCTAGCACCCCATATGGTCCCTGAGCTCCACCAGCAGTGATCCCTGAGCACAGAGCCAGGAGTAACCCTGAGCATCGCCAGGTGTGGCCCCTCTCATAAAGAAATTTCCCACAATTCCGCATGGCAATCACATATCGGCCAAGGTACACAGTGACAGCAATGGGTCGGAAAGCCAAGCTCAGGAAAGATGTTTTACTGGCCAAGATAGTCCCATTCTCTAGGAAACTAAACAGCAAACACTCAAAACACAGTTACAAAGAAAGAAAAGGAAGCCAAGACTTAAGCGCAGGCTGGCTGAGGGGCATCTCCCACTGGAGAGAGATCCCTGAAGCTTCAGCAGGCACAGGAACCTATTACACTATTACATTGAAAAATCACTCCGTGTGTGGTCCCCTGAATGGGAACTGTCCCATTAAAAAAAAAAAAAAAACTTTTTCAAACTTCTAAGTGTGTATGTTTTTCTGTGTCAATGTTTGCTCCAAGAATTCTCAGGGTATGGGGGTTTTGTTTCCACGCTGCCTCTCAGACTATTCCTGTTAAACAGCAAAGCTAAATTGGGCCAGGGTGTTGGCTGGTGGCTTGAAAAATAAATGAATAAATAAAACCCAGCCCCTCCCTCTCACGGATGTTTCACAACTCTCTACAGTCATCATAACTAGGTCAACTCTTAAAGAGACACACATCCTTGACCAACAGGGTCAGAGCAGGGTTCGAGTGCAGGCAGAAAGAACAGGATCCTCAGGAAGTGGCAGCAACTGGAGAAGCCCTCCACTCTGCCCCTGGCTGCTTCCCAGAGAGCAGACGGCCATGCAGGAGCCCAGGCGAGGCGAGACTCAGCTCCAGCATCCAGCTGCCAGCTCTCGAGTTTCCTCAGAGGTCACCAGGAATGAGCTGTCTCCAGGTCTCTGGGTTGGTCCTCCCACCCCAGCCACAGAACAGCTTCCAGCATCCTGGCTCTGGAGGAGACCCTTCCACAGCTCCTCCCTGGAACAACA